TTCCCAACTTTTACACTGTGGACTAGGTGAAGGTTTTACACTCACCAACCCACCCACATTTTGTCTCATCTCAAGCACTGCCACCCTCAACGTGCCATCACCAACCCCACTGTCTCTCCACGCTTCCTGTTTCGGTCTTTCTTCCACAGTCTTCTGAACTGTGTCCCGGGGCAAAAGGAGGGCGGACTCCCCTCGCCTGGCAACATCCTTGGAGGCCTGTGCACAGCTCGGCTAAACACGAAGCCTTGGGGTGAGTTCTGCTCCTGGCCTGCAGGCTGAGGAAGGGCCAGTCTCGGGGTTCTTCCTCATCGAGACTTGGCACAAAGTCGGGAGCCTCCGTTTGAGGAGGAGCTGCTCATGCTTGGGCCAGCCATGGTGGCCGTGCCCCTGGAGGTGTACCTGAGGGCAGAGCCAAGGGGGCGGGGCTCAGGTCTGTGGTCGAGGCATAGACAGCCTTTCCTCCCCCTTAGAGTCTTCCCATTGACACATGTAAACGTTAGCTGCTGCGCAATCCAACTCCACAGCTGTCCATCATAGGCACTGGTGTCCTTTGCAAAGTCCTTCCCAGGCAGACAGACCAGGGCAGAAGGCTGCTTCCTATCGCTCGTTCACTCGCTGTTATCAGTACCGTGCTTCTTTCTATCTGGAGTGGGTCTTTCCTTGGCGGGGGTGGGGGTAGTGAGGGTGTTGGTGCTGGTGTGTGTGTATGTGTGTGTGTGTGAGAGAGAGAGAGAGAGAGAGAATGAGAATATGCAGGGCTCACTCCAGAGCAGGGGGAGAGGCTAGGAGGAGAACCCATCTTCCTTTGGAGTGAGTCCAGCTTTACTGAATTTGTACCTCTGAAAAACAGCGTCTAAGTGGGTCACGTGTATAAACATCTATGAAACCAGAACAAAAAGTGACCTATTTATTAAAATAGGTCTGACGTGATGTTTGTACTTAACAACAAAAAACCCACCACGTCCCTTCCTAACTCTGGTCCATGTCTTCTTCTTGTTTGTCCAAAGCAAATACTGGACAGTGCTCCAGAGCCGGCTGTGGGACCCAGCTTCTGCTTCCTCTGCAAGACCCGATGCAGGGTGGCCTCTTCTGCGAAGCTCTCCCAGGCTCTGCCACCCTTAGGCCAGCTGGGGCGCATCCTTCCCCGGCCGCCACTGTGCCCAATTGGAGGAGGCAGTACTTCGTTCAAGTGCCCGTCTCCACATAAAACAACTGTGGGCTGTGAGGGGCCATGTCTCCCTCCGCGGCGCCGTTCCTGCAGCCTGACACTGTGTCTGGCAGTGGCTGAGAGTTAGCAAAACAACGTGTGAATGAAAGGACAGACTGATGACCTAAAGGCCCATGACCAGGAATAACATGGGTGTGACCTCCAAATCCAGCATGCCCCAAATTAACAGAAATCCAACAAGAACAGTTCCGGTATTCCCCAGACAGCAAGGTTTAGCACTGATCCTTCAGTAGTACAGCAGCTTCAGGGAGAAAAGAGCCGCTCAGCACCCAGATGGAATTGACAAGAGAAGTGGCAGAGGCCACAACACAACTGCTTGAGCGAGGCAAGGGCAGCGGGGAAAGCCAAGATCTGCCGGGCAGCTTTCATGGCCCGGCCCCGGGGGCGGAGGGGTTCCGAGGCAGAGCGCCTCCCTCCTCCGGGCAGGATGAGCCTGAGTCGACAAAGCTGCCTGCCCTTTCTTCACAAGGCTTTTTATTTACCCTCCTGCCCTTGTGCCTGTAAGGCAGCGACCTCTGCAAGCAATGTGACTCTGGATTCTCAGCCCAGAGCCTGAACACAAGCTTCTCTGCGGAGGAAAACAACAACAATGCTGGGCAAACCCTTTCTGGGAATTTACTCACCCACCTGTTAGAGAGGTCAAAGGCTGGTTAGTATTGGCTGCTAACCACAGGTTGGTAGTTCAAATCTACCAACAGCTCCACAGGAGAAAGATGAAGCTGACTACTCCTGTAAAGATCTGTGATTTCAGAAACCCTACCCTAGTTGCCCTGAGTTGGAACTGAAGGCAGTGGGCAGGGGCAGGTAGCTTATAGAGGAATGGGGGAGGGAGCTCTGCTGAGAGAGCTGACTGGGGCGCCAGTGCTACCTGGCCTCTGGGAGGTTCGCATGCTACATCATGGAAACCCACTGAGAACATAAGGCAGAGAAGAAGACCTGACTCAAGGCAGGAGAGGCTGCACTTTCGAGAGATGCTGGGCCTGCTCCAAGGAAGCCTTGTTGAAGAAACGAGCCTCTCCACTCAGCAGTCACTCTGGAAAATGAACAGCTGCCAGGTCATGCCATGGGCACTGACCGCAGGGAGACCACTCAGCAGCTGGAAGTAGCAGCACCCAGAGGCTGCTCCAGTCAGGGGTGTGATGCCCACTCCAGCCGTTCAGAACACTTAAACCCACTAACCTCATAAGCGTCCCCTCAGTCTTCAGTGAGTGAGATTCCAATTCGGGGGCCTAAGCCGAGAGAGCACGTCTGTCACAAGCCTGACTTGCTTAGTCCAACATTCTGTCACGAGTGTTCAGATCTGGCTTGCCCTAAATGGCTGACTTTGGTGCAAAACACCCACAGAAGAACCAGAAATGAAAACGAAACAATTCTTATGTGCATTTGGGGAAAGGTATAACTTTAAAGAACACGGTATTGCCTATCTTAATTAAAGTTAATTATTCTGCTAGGTGAGGTTCTCTTAATTGTCTGACTTGGAAGCAGCTCAACGAAACTTATTAAAGTAAGTACTAATTTGAGGCCCCAATCTGCCGGTTTAGCTACTTGAGTCTTTGACTTGGAATTCATAGGTGAGACTCAGAGCCCGAGGGCTGAGCAGGGAGAAAGAGCCAGCAGGAAACGTCCAGAGTCAATGTTCTCAGAAGCATTTTCCTTAAAAAGGAGACTTTGGACTCTCCATCCCATTTCTCTTCTGTATCACAGGTGAAACGTGGGATGAGGTGGACAGGGTGGGTTTGGAGTTGTGAACAGTGGAACACAACACAACAGGAAATAACATAAGCAATGCTACAATACCAAACACTTCCACTCACACACCTGCAGGGGGCTGGGGTGGCGGGGAAGCTTCACAGGGAGTTGGCCAGAGGCCTGGAATCAATCCTGAACAGCTCCAAACAGTTGCCAGAAAGGCCTAGGGCAGAATCCAGCACAGAGCTGAACAGATGTTCCCCGCCTTTCTCTCTTCTCAGTAATGAAGAAAAACTTCAGAGATGTGTACTTAACCGTTTCCTATTTTTATTCCAAATGCCTGCTTCCCTAAAGCCTGATTTATCCTGGGTTCAGATCAATTTGGTTTGCAGGCCTGGGGATTTTCTTAAATGTTGGAATTCTCTCTCTAGCCTGGGACAATGGTCATCATCAGCTCAGTAGAACCGGTGGGCCAGGAAACCTTTTAGTAAAGCCAAGGACCAAATCCAAACCAAACCTACTGCCACCAAGTCAATTCTGACGCACAGTGACTCTATTTAGGGTTTCCTAGGCTGTAAATCTTTACTACAAGGGTGGACAGCCTCGTATTTCTCTTGCAGAGTGTGGCTGGTGGGTTTAAACTACTGACCTAATGGCTAAGCAATCCACCACCCAACTCAGTACGCCACCGGTCAGGCCAGGACCCTGCTACTTGTCAAAGACCATTCCTGCAGGTAGGTACCAAGCACCGACCAAGGTCCGCTGACCAGTCTGACAGTCTTGTCCCTTACCTGCTTGATACTCCAAGATGAGGTGGAACTCATCCACTTCCTGCAGTGATTCTGGTGGAACAAACACATTGTCATCAAGAAGTTCATGCAGCTTTGGACCAACTGGACCGCAAAGAAGAACCTGGAGACAAGTCACATGAAGCTTATGAGGCGACCTGTTTCTTTTCCCCGTGACATGTAAACAGTAACCAGTAAGGTCAGTCCAGGTCAGTTCTATTCATTTCCATGCTATGTCTGAAGCCAAATCTAATTTTGAGAGCTCTTGGTTTGGAGGTATGTGGAAGAGAGGTCATCACCAGAGTTTAGGCCCAGAGAATTTGGCCACAGTGTACCCCAACATGAGAAGCTAGCAAAGGTCTAGAGACCCGGGTGCTAGACAGGTAACTGCAGCAGCTTTCTCCCACCTTTCGCACCACATTCTTCTTCAGCGTCAACCTCGGCCTCCCTGGGTGGTGGTGGTGGGGGTTTCCTTCTAGAAGCCAGTTCCTATCCTGCGGCTGCCCCTCAGTTCCACGTGCTGCTGGACCGCACTCAAGGCCAGGCTGAGGGACCCAGAACACCCCAACAGAGCAGGCTCAGACCAGGACGGAGAGGAGAGGTCCCAGAAACGGTCACCATTTTCAGAGGGAATATTAAAATTCCTCACGCAGAGCTTTAAAAGGCATTTTTACTTGCCAACGGATGGAATGTTTGTACACTACTTTGTACATGACATACACAAGACATGTTTGTGTATCTTACAGAGAAATCCCAGCTTCTGGCTAAAAATATAACCTCTCCCCTTGACTTAATCCCTTTCTGCTTTGACAAATACCCATGATTTGCCAATTCTGAAAGCTGCTCTTCCACTTAATTTCCTTTCTCTAATTCTTGGCTAGAACTTCAGCTTCCAAGATGGGGTGACAGGGAACAAAATTTACCCTCTCGCCTGAAATAGCTCCACCACTACCCACAACAAAGAGGAAACAAGAGAAACCACGCAGACGCTGAGCGATGAGTGACAGGGCCCCCAGGGACAGAACCATCGAAATGAAGGCCGGACAGTGCTCAGACCCCATCACCATCAGACCTGCACTGCAGGCAGTGGGCAAGGACGTGCTTCAGGCAGCTGGCTCTGGTCAAAGGCGTGATGAGCCGCGAGCATATGGTTACTCTGGGTAAGGACAGGGTGGTCTTACATTTAAATCTCTCTCACAGAGAATGAGTTACTAAAGGAGAAATGTAACAATGGAGCGAGGCTTGTTAACACATATCGAAGGCAGAGATGGCCACAAGAGCATAAATATCAGAGCGGGATGGAGGTACACTCACATATCGAAGGCAGAGATGGCCACAAGAGCATAAATATCAGAGCGGGATGGAGGTACACTATTATATTTGGTACCATAATATCATTTGAAAGTAGACTCTGATAGTTAACAGTGTATACTATAAACACTCAAGCCACCACTACAACAAAACTAGGAAATACAGCTAGTAAGGCAGAAAAACAGCAACAAAAACATAAATATAAAAAATACCCCACCCCAAATCTGGCAGAAAAAAGGAAGGAAAAGAAGTGGGCAAATGATAAGAGAAAGGGCAAATTAAAACAACGATGAGATACCACCTTACACCCTCAAGATAGCCCAATTCATAAAATCAGAAAGCAACAAGTGTTGGAGGGGCTGTGGTGAGATAGGAACTCTCGTCCACTGCTGGTGGACCTGTAAGTATGTACAGCCATTATGGAAATCAATTTGGCGATTTCTCAAACATGGAAATTGAGTTACCCTACGACCCAGCAATCCCATTACTGGGCATATACCCAGAAGAGGCAAGAAACAAACCAAGCCAGACATCTGTGCTCCAGTGTTCATTGCGGCACAGTTCACAATCGCAAGGAGTTGGAAGCAACCCAAATTTCCACCAACTGATAAGTGGATTAAAAAGCTGTGGTACATACATACAATGGAGTACTATGCATCACTAAAAAGCAGTGATGAATGCATGAAGCACATCCCTGCATGGGAAGAACTGGAGGAAATTATCCTAAGTGAAGTATGCCAAGCACAAAAGGACAAGTACAACATGAGTCTGCTGAGGTAAACTTAAAAATGCAAAAGGGGCATAGGGAAAAGCTACTGTATACAAACATTCATGGGGCGAGGTCCAGGTAGTACGGCAGGGGCCAGACCAAATCCAGGGATACATATGGCAGCCAACTAAAAAGGAGAGTGAAAAAGAAAAAAAAGAAAAAAAGAAATGGGTAGCGGGGGCACAGGGCACTAACCCACCCAACGGTAGGGTACTGTTTATATCTTCACAGGGAAAGAGGGACCAGACTTCAACCCGGTGCTCCAAGATATGAATGCACCATACCGGCATGAAGCGGGGAACCAACAGAGAGGTCTAGGCGGCTGGCCCCGATACCAACTACGTGGACAGCACCCTCTCCCCGTAGAAGAATTCACTTCAGAGGACAGCACTGAAGCTATAGCTCAGGGAGAAGGACATGTCTGATCAGAGCACACAGGGGCAAATGAAGGGGGAGGAAGAGAGTAGAACACATCCTGGCCCACCAAGCCTTGAGAACGATATCCTTGCTCAGAGCAGTCAGTTCACAGAGAGGACCACATGGCCGGCCCCACTATGAGACACGACATCCCTCACTGACCCATAGCCCTACAGGCAACACTGGAGACACTGCGGGAGTTGTACCCAATCTGACCCCACCACACCGAGGCAAAACACTAAGGATGTGCAACAGAACAGCATGGGGAACAGAGCAATGAAGTTCCCAGGGAATACCAAAAATAGACGTTGGGGCCAGGACATGGCACCTTATCAGACTCCACTGGAAAACACTCCTAAAGGTCAACTAACAGGCCTTGAACTATCTACAGGCTTTTCTTTTTATTTTGTCCTTGGCTTTTCTTTGTTTTCTTTTGTTGCTTTGTTTCACTCTGTCTTCTTTTTTGTGCATATTATTATCTCTGCAGGTATATCTAGATAAGATAGGCGGGATAAACAATCTGGAAGAGAAAACAATGGGACTTAAGGTTCTGGTGGGACATGGCAGGGGGAGGCAGGGGAAAGGAAGTGGATGTTAACAAATCCAGGGAAAAGGGAACAACAAGTGATCCAAAATTGATGGCAAGGAGGGTGTAGGAAGCCTGGTAGGGCTTGATCAAGGGCAATATAACCAAGAGGAATTACTGAAACCCAAATGAAGGCTGAACATGATAGTGGGACAAGAAGAAAGTAAAAGGAAATAAAGGAAAGAATTAGGAGGCAAAGGGCATTTATAGAGGTCTAAATAAAGGCATGTTCACATGTAAATATATTTATATAGGAGGATGGGAAAATAGATCTATGTGCATATATTTATAGGTTTAGTATTAAAGTAGAAGATGGACATTGGGCCTCCACTCAAGTACTCCCTCAATGCAAGAACACTTTGTTCCAGTAAACTGGCATTCCATGATGCTCACTTTCCCGAAATGATCGCTGAAGACAAACTGGGTGCATAAGCAAATGTGGTGAAGAAAGCTGAAGGTGCCCGGCTGTCAAAAGATATAGCATCTGGGATCTTAAAGGCTTGAAGGTAAACAAGCAGCCATTTAGTTCAGAAGCAACAAAGCCCACATGGAAGAAGCACACCAGCTTGTGTGATCATGAGGTGTCAATACGATCAGGTATTGGGCATCAGAGAACAAAAAATCTTATCATTGTGAATGAGGGAGCATGCGGAGCAGAGACCCAAAGCTCCTCTGTAGGCAACTGCACATTCCGTTACAGAAGAGTCTTGGGGAGGAGACGAGCCAGTCAGGGTGCAGTATAGCACCAATGAAATATACAACATTCCTCTAGTTCTTTAATGTACGCTCCCCATCATGATCCCAATTCTACCTTACAAATCCATCTAGACCAGAGCATGTACCCTGGTACAGATAAGAACTGGAAACACAGGGAATCCAGGACAGATAAACCCCTCAGGATCAATAATGAGAGTAGCAATACCAGAAGGGGAAGGTGGGGTAGAGAGGGAGAAGTGACCACAATGATCTACATATAATCCCCTTCCCTGGGGGTCAGAGAACAGAAAAGTGGTTGAAGGGAGACATCAGACGGTATAAGACATGACAAAATAGTAATAATAATTTATAAATTATCAAGGGCTCATAAGGAAGGGAGGGAGGAGGGAGCGAGGGAGAGGGAAAAATGAGCTGATACCAAGGGCTGAAGTAGAAAGAAAATGTTTTGAGAATGACGGTGGCAACAAATGTACAAATGTGCTTGACACAATGGATGTATGTATGGATTGTGATGAGTTGTATAAGCCCCCAATAAAATGATTAAAAAAAAAAAGAAGTAGGTAAACGAGGAGGTCCGATTGAAACCCAATAGCAATAGATCACCTCAAACAGGAACAGCCTACACCGCCCTATTAGAAGGCTGACCTGATCAGATCAGACTATATGCTACCATACAAAATACATGCTAAACATAACACAAATCAGTTAAAACAAAGGGATGAAAAGGTGTATGCCACACTAACACTAACAGAAAACTGGAATGCGATTTTAATCAACACATTTCAGAGCAAAGAGTATCATGAAATGATTTTCTGGTAATGATAAAGGAGTCCATCAATGAAGGCAATGTAAAATCCTAAACATCTACGGGTCTAATAACAGTACTTCAAAATACAGAGGCAAAGCGTTATAGAATGGCAAAGGAAATAGAAAAGTCCACAGCTGGACTTTTTACAGCTGGAAATGCCAATACCCTCTCTCACAACTAATAGTGCAAGTAGACAGGAAGCCAGTAAGAATATATTAGACTTAAGCAGTAATTAGCTGACTTGACCTAATTGATGTTTACACACCACTCCACCAACAACCATAGAATATACAATGTTTTCAAGTGCACATGGAATCTCTTACGTGTGGAGAGCCCCAAAATATTTGGAAATGGAATAACAAACTTTTGAATAGCCCAGAGACCAAAGAAGAAATCAAGAAAAATTAGAAAATATTTTGAAATGAATGAAAATAAAATACAATGTATCACAATCTGAGGGATATAGCAGCGTGGTGCCTAAGGGGAAATTTATAGCTTTAACACTTGTATTAGAAAATAAGGTCTCTAGGACCTAATGTCGGGGGTTTAAGTGGAGAGAAAATGTTTTGAGAATGATGTACAAATGCGCTTTACACAATTGATGTGTGTATGGATTGCGATAACAGTTGTATGAGCCCCTAATAAAATGTTTAAAAAAAAAAGAAAAGAAAAGAAAATAAGGTCTCAACCCAATGACCTTAGCTTCTATATGTGGCGTAAGAAACTACCAAAGGAAAAAGAAAAGAAAAAGAGCAAGTTATACTTAAAGCAGAGATCAATTAAGTCTGAAACAGAAAGACTAGAGGGAAAAAAATCAATGAAACTAAAAGCTGATGAGTGAGCTCGTGTAGCTCTCTTGTCTCCTGGCTGTAGATGCCGCACGCAGACAAGGCCTAGTGTTAATTGCTGGTGCTTCTGAGATAATTTTGTCCACATATCAATGGTGTCTTTGAAGGAACACATAATGATAAAAAAAAGTCATGGCAGAGATCGGGGTTTGAGTCCTGGCTCCAGCCACCCTGGACTACTTTTCCTCTGAAGGTTGTTGTAAGGACTGGCACAGCCACCCATCTCCTTTCCTCAATCACCCACCCATGCTCCACTTGGTCTAGCTTACTGTGTCCACTCTTCCAGTCAGACTGCAGCCAGGTCCAGCTTCTCCAGAGACCAACCCAAGCACACAGGAAATGCTTACCCCAGGGGAAGTTAGCACTACACTGGCCCACCCTGCACTCATCCAGGACTGCCCTCTCAGAGGTCAGAATTCTATCTCAGGATCAGGAGGGAGGGCTTTTAGGAACTCGGCAAACCCCTGGGATGCTGGTGGGCAGGGCCTGCGCCTGAGCTTCCCAAGCACTCTTCTAAAGAGTGTACTTCTCTCCTATTCATTCTTTCCTCCTCTCCTATTGACTGACAATGGTTCTGAGGGCCAGCCCTGGAACTTTAAATCTCTGTTGGGAATTAATTACCCCTTATGGATATAATGGCTGCAAAAATATGTATCTCCCACAACATTTTCTTTTACACTTTTTAACAATATAACTTGTCCTGTTCAGAATAAATATATACCTAATTGTCCCCTATTTCTATTTTCAGGCTGGCCCTAAAAGCCAGAGACCTGCCATTCCCTTCTCTAATGAAGTCACACCCATCCAGGACATCTCAAGTCTGTTATGCTGACCCCTCAAATCCAAACCTTAATTTTTTCATACTACGACAGCAGCAGATAATCTCCTTGTTGGCCAATCCCCTCTTAGAGCAAAATACCTTGCTTGGTCAGATGTTACTTTGGACAGAGCAATACTTCTTCATTCCAGTTAAGTCAAACAGACTTTAAGACACTCTCCCACTGCTCCTCCGTCTAATGCCTTCTTTTTCACCCCTTTGGACCCAGGCTCACAGGCTCACCAATACAGCCAAGTGCCTGTCCTCTCATTTCCTGTATAAATCTCCAGTTTCCAGGTCTTGACTCCAGAGGCTACATGCTCTCAACGATTACGGACAGAATTTAAGAACTCGGGCAGTGGAGTCAGACTGGCAGTGGGGGGATGCCGCGGTCCCACTACTGATTCTTAATGAACTCGGGGGTTGGGGGTGGGGTGGGGGTGGTGTTGTTACCGTCTAACAAGAGCCCTGGGCCTGGCACACAGCAGGTGGGCCCTGAATTGAATCAAGGAATAAACAGACATTTTCTTGCTCATGTAGGATTATGGGCACACTAGTGAAAGGCAGGGGGCTTTAATCTGGGAATGTGGCCTACCTTTAAATCTGGGTTGGCTGCAAATTTCTGTCCGATTAAAGCAGCATTTCCTCCGACATAGTGCTGTAAGACAGTTCAAGGCTATGAGTATTTTAGCACAATGTTGTTACCCAAGCTTAATCCTTTTTAAAAATTCATTGAAATAATTTAGAGTCCATTCCCCAACTCCCCAAAAGTTTTGCGGTGACTTTACAACAGAGGGCACGCAGATGAGGGTGATGAAATCCAGAAGCAGTCAATGAGTAACATGGAAAGGTAAAGAAAACACTATGGTAAGCACAAAGATCAGTATAACTTCCTCAACTAAAGATCCAATTTGGCTCTGAGCTTTGAGCAGCCGGAATAGATAAACATAGAAAACGTGATGAAGACCTTGTCGGCTCCATTTAACCCTTCTAAAGGGAGAATCTCCTTAGGGCGCCCTCCTGAAAGTCATCCAGCAGAGTCTGTGTTGAACTAAAACCCAACTCTTAAGTGAGGAGCCAAGCCCCTCTCACTTGCTGACCCCGCCTTGACTCCCCACCCTCACCTCCTGCCCTTTCCACATCCTGCCTGCACCTCTGAGGGGCCTTCCTTTCTCTACTAAGGACACCCTTCCCTGAAGAAACAACTGCAGCACCCCCTCTTTTGTAACGTTTTTCCCTACAGCCATCTCACCTTCACATTGCCCCTTCCTCCTGACCAGACTGTAAACCCTACCTTTAGACACTGAATGTACATCTCTCCTCTCTCTGATGCAGCACTCTCAGCCTGAGTGATTAGTACTGGGCTCCGTCGCCCAGGGCTGGCTCATTCGTAGGAAGCTGAGTTTTGACAAAGGATGGACTCTTTGGGAAACACGAAGGTGTTTCTGGGAGTGACCCCTGGCAGAAGGGGCTTTCGATACAGAACAACCACCTCAACCTGGTTATGGGAAACACTGGCAGCTTTCCTAGCATCCACTGGTAATTCACTTTCTCTCTGATGGTGATCCCACGAGACTTTTCTGAGATTGAACATAATTCAAAGTGACAAAAATGACAGTACGGACAGACCCGTGGACTACTTCCTCCACATGCTGCATCTCTCTCGGGAGGTCTTGCTGGGAGCTGGAGAGCAGCTAATCCAGAGCTGGTGGTATTCCATGCTCTTGACTAAGGATGACTGTGTGAGCTTTGGAAACAGACAAGCAGGATACAGCTGATGCTTGGGCAGTAACACTGCGAAGCCTAATCAATATTCTGACCAGGGTGAGACCCCATCCTGCTTCCTTTCCAGTCCTCAGTCCCTTGCAGAGGCACGAGCTAGCGGGCAAATTCTAGATGCTTCGCTTTGCATTCCCTGTAAGGCGTGTGTGGATCCCCGTGAAGAGGCTGCTCCTGGCAGCTGATGGGCCGAGGCCAGGGAAGCTGCTGAAGTGCCCAGCTTAAATCACCCACTGTGCCCGGGCTGAGAAACTGTGCTTTGGGCCAAGAGAGCAAGGAAGGGACCCAGCTCTTTGGCGCCCATGCAAAGGCTGAAACTAGTTCTTCATGGGTTTGGCCTCGTTCTCCTGCCCAGAAGGGACGCAGCCATGCTAGGGTAACGTCGCATGGTCCGCTACAATACAATCCCAGCATGTGAGGAGGAGGTCTCCTTTCTACCTTAAGTTTGGGTAACATGCAAAAAAGGACAATATATAAACCCGAATGGTCTTGTTGGTAAATATGGTTCATTTAATTGACTAGAAACAGCAGAGCTCATGGAAGATCAAGTAGACAGTTTTACAAAATAGGCCAACAATTGGATTTCTCATGATCACTCTAGGGGCAAACTGGAGGGAAAAACGGCTTGGTGGGCCCTCTTGGCATTCTATGCTAGCTTACTACAGGTACTCCCTGGGTAATGAGCGTGTCTTTCAGTAGAGCTAGTAGGTTAAGTTAGAGCAGGCGCATCAGGTCTTACTTAGCCTTTAGGGTAGGAGAAGGCTTGAAGCGGTTTTCAATGACTTACAACCTGGCATGCAGCAAGTGAGTGTGATGTGACGAATCTGTGGAGTCTGGGTTTGGACAATCATTTGAAAGGGAGGGCAAATTTACACAACGTGAAAGGGCAAGTAGGTGGTTGTCGAACGCTGGCAACTCGGGTGGACCAAACAGACCTGGGCTTTCGGGAACGCTGATGCCACCTGGGCAATGTCATGAAAAGCTTCCTTGTCACTGAAGAAGCGCTCAGCTGCTGCTCCCTTCCCCAGGAAGTGCGTGAAGGCTTCTTCCAGATCGTTCTTTGAATGCAGAACAGCGTGATCCTGCCCGTTCCCCGAGCTCAGGCCCACTGCCTGCAAGAGCTTCACCCCTGACAGCACCACATCCACACAGGCGTTGACTCTGGGGAGGGAGAGCAGGGTCAGTGTGAGCGAGGAGCAGAGCCTGCGCCCCCGCTCTGCATTTCCCAGCCAGACAAACCAGCGAGATGGTCCTGAAACCCGCGCTGCAAAGGGCAGAGCAGCTGGCAGAGGCAGATTCCTGGATCTTGGGCGGAGAACAGAGCCACACACCTTCCCGCTAGTCTCTCAAACGCTTCCACTTGTTACAAAGAAAGAGGGCAGGTGCCAGCATGTCAGAATAGACTGGTAGCAGTGCTGAGACGCTGCGGTCTGGATCCTCACTTGTACAGTCTGAGGTTCCCGACCTGTGAAACGGGAGCTGACATGAGTGCAGCTGGTGTGAGGCTCACCCACGTCAGTATGTGCTCACAGCAATGCTTGCTGCAGAGTAAGCAAAGGAGCAATGTTGGCCTCAAGCAAGTTTCAGACACCTTCCTCCCAGAGACAAAGCAGGATGCTTTTGTTAGGTGACATGAAGCTGGTTCCGACTCACAGTGGCGACCCTGTGGCACAACCCAACAAAGCCATGCCCGCTCCTACGCCATCCTCACAGTGGCTATTGTTTGACACCACTATTGCAGCCACTGTGCCAGTGCATCTGAGCAAGGTCTGTGCAAGTCTGAGTAGACGCCCCAGGAATGCTCCTGGCGTGTCACCTGACCTGCCACATATAAGCACACCACCTTCCTGCTCTTCTTCAAAAATGGTCTTGGTCTGCAAAATGACACGCCAAACCATGAATGGTGACAACCTCAGAGGAATGAGCCTGGGGAGAGGGAGGTATTTTTACTTTTTATTAGGGATTATTCTAGTTTTTATACGCGTGCATTGCTTTTGTGAGTTTTACAACATGATTTTAAAAAGGGGTTGGCAGGCAGGCTAAAACAACAAACATGCTGCCACCAAGTTCAATTCTGACTCACAGCAGCCCTGTAGGATAGACCAGAACTTGGGTTCTAGGCTGTCATTCTTTTTTGGGAGCAGAAAGCCTCATCTTTCTCCCTCAGAGTAGACTGGTGGAATCAAACTGTCAACCTTGTGGTTAGCAACCCAAATGGTTAACCTAATATATAGTCACTGGGGGTCCTTTTTTCATCATAAAGATACGTCATTTCCCGTGTTTTGAAAGATTTTTGTCTGTCAAATAACATTTAAATACTCAGTCTTTCTTTCTTTTTACTCCCCCCCCCCGTTTTTTGGGGGTTCATATGACTCATCACAATCCATATATACATCAATTGTGTAAAGCACATTTGTACATTCATTGCCCTCGTCATTCTCAAAACATTTGCTCTCCACTTAAGCCCCCGGCATCAGGTCCTTGTTTTTTCCCCTCCCTCCCCCTCCCCCCTCCCTCATGAGCCCTTGATAATTGATAAATTATTATTTTGTCATATCTTGCCTGTCCAATGTGTCCCTTCACCCACTTTTCTGTTGTCTGTCCCCCAGGGAGGAGGCCACGTATAGATCCTTGTAATTGGTTTCCTCTTTCCAACCCACTCTCCCTCTACCCTCCCAGTATCGCCACTCTCACCACTGGTCCTGAAGGGATCATCCACCCTGGATTCCCTGTATTTCCAGTTCCTATCTGTACCAGTGTACATCCTCTGGTCTAGCCAGACTTCCAAGGTAGAATTCGGACCATGATGGGGGGGGGGGGGGGGGAACATTTAGGAACTACAGGAAAGTTGTATTTTTCATCGTTGCTACAACGTACCCTGTCTGGCTCGTCTCCTCCCCGAGACCCCTCTACTCAGTCTTTCTTACAGGCAATTGGTAAGCTGGACCTAACCAACGTGGAATAAGGACATGAAGTATCATTCCTCCTAAAAGCAGAGAATTGCCATGTGTTGGTTGGCCTATGCAGCCCTGCACTAGGCAAAGGTATCATTTCCATCTGGCTTTCTGAAATGTCAAAATCCAGTTTGGAACCCTGACATGTCCTTTGTCTCCTTATTAAGACCAAGCCACAGGTATGAATTCTTTACCTGTCAGAGCACATGCCACATTGCCATAGGTGGCAGGTGCTCGCAGAGCGGTCATGAAAACCCTCCTTCCAGCCCCACAGAGTTTGTGAACTGCTCTCGCCCCTATTTTCAGAGAGCGCAGCGCGAGCCAAGGAGTAGGAGCGACAGGAAGACAGGTCTCCCGAGTTCTCCACTGCTACGGGTTTCTGAGTTCCAGAGAGTGAGGCGGATTCCTCCCAACAGCCCGTACCACAAAATGTGTCCCAGTGGATTCGGTTTTTGAGGCTGGCCAGGGACAGCGAAAGTTCAGATACGGAAGGATACCGGTGGCTGGAAATAACTACTCCAGCAAGTAGTTACTGGCAAAGGAGAAGGTCAGAGAAAAAGAGGAAGACCCGGAGTGAGATGGACTGACACAGTGGCTCAAATGTAGCAACGACCTTGAGGACAGCATGGACCGAGCGCCTGCACAGAAGCTGATGCAATGGCGCCTAACGGTCCTTCAACAACGGTACATACAACACCTCCACACTCAGTTCTGCTGGGATCGTAAGCTTAGTTTAATTCTTTAATGATCTGAATAGGGGAAGTTGAGCTTGCAAATGATACACAAGTAAAAGCAATATCATTTAGCATCTTTTGCAACACAAGACAAAATATTAACAGAACGAGCTTTGAATTTAAAAAATGTAACTTTGCAACTATTTCCTTGTCCAGAAGATCAGAATTGGAAGGTGTCACAATCATGGGA